TTTTAAATATACATGTATCACCAATATAAAAATTATAAATTAAAATATAAAAAAGTTTAACATTTAAAAAAATATGTATAATTCATGCAAAAGAATTTGAATTTTTTTTAAAAAAACATCTACCGTTCTGTAAAAGTAAATTTTAAAAATTTAATCACTATAAAAATGAATGATCATTTAGTGACCAATGACCATCCAACTCCTGCATCGTAAAAAGATGTTTGTCATTAAGTATTTTACAGACTATTTTAATGTTTTAAACTACTTTCTACATGAAAAATTATTAAGCTTATTAATAATATATTTTTGATAGATAGTATATTAATAATATTTAATATTATGCCTATGAGATGGGAAAATATTTAATAGTTAAAATTTAAATTTTTTAAATTTGAATTTTAAACTTGATGGGTGAAAAATGAGTTCTACATTTAATGTTTCTGCAGTGAAAAAAAATATATATAATAAATTTAAATTTAATATAAAATTAAAGATTAAACGAAAAAATATTTAAAGTTACAAAAATATATATTTATAGTTAATAAAAAATAATTTAAATAAAAAATTTAAATGAAAAAATAAGAAATGACATTTTTATACTTTAAAAGAAACTAAATTAGAGATTTAACTTAAAAAAATAAGCTTTAATGTATCTAAAGTGAATGTAGATAAGTTATCTACATTCGCTCCCAAAACGACGTCGTTTTGGATCGAAAAATTAAAAAATTATAATTAAAAAGACTATTATAACCCTGAAATAAATTATAATTACAAAAATATCTTAATTTTCGCCTCAGAACGACGCCGTTTTGAGCTCAATATAGATAAGTTATCTACATTAACTGTAGCAAAAGCGAACCCAAAAATATAATACAAAAAGAAAAAAAAATTTGTACAAGTTTTTTAAGTTTTCTTAACATTAAAAGTAGGCTTTAATGTTTCTAAAGTGAATGTAGATAAGTTATCTACATTAAGTCCCAAAACGACGTCGTTTTGGGTTGAAAAAATAAAAAATTATAATAATAAAGACTATTATAACCCTAAAATAAATTATAATTATAAAACACATTGATTTTGCCTCAAAACGACGTCTTTTTAGGCTCAATGTAGATAAGTTATCTACATTGACTGTAGAAAAAGCGAATCTTTAAAAATATATGTATAACCAATATAAAAAATATAAATTAAAAGTTAAAAAAAATTAAAATTTTCAAAAAATATGTATCATTAATACAAAAGAATCTAAATTTTAAATTTAAATAAGAAAAAAAGGCAACTATCATTCTATAAAAATTAAATTATAAAAATATAATCCTTAAAAAAAAGTAAATGATCATTCAGTGACCAGTGACCATCTAACTCCTGCGTCGTAAAAAGATGTTTGCTATTAAGTATTTTAGAGGCTTCTTTAAGGTTTCCCACTACTTTCCGCATGAAATTTTTTTAAGCCTATTAATAATAATAATAATTATGTCTATTGGGTGAAAAAATATTTAATATTTAAAATCCAAACTTTTTAAATTTGAATTTTGAACTTGATTGGTGGAAAAAGAATTCATCATTTAATGTTTCTGCAGAATAAAAAGATATATATAATAAATTTAAATTTAATATAAATTATAGATTAAAAAAAAATATTGAAAATTATAAAAATTAATGTATAGTTGATAAAGAATAATTTAAATGAAAAAATACGAAATGACATATTTATACTTTAAAAGAAACTAAATTAAGAATTTAACTTAAAAAATAATATGAAAAGAAAAAATTCCGGTGAAGTATTTTTTTAAATTTTTTTAACATAAATGTTTAAACATATATGTATAACTAATATAAAAAGTATAAATTAAACGACATGTAAAAATAAATTTTCATAAAATATGTATAATTAATACAAAATAATTTAAATAAGAAAATGATATATATCTTTCGGAAGAAGAAAATTATAAAAATTTAAACATTAAAAAAATAAATGACCATTTAGTTACCAATGACCATCTAACTCCTACATCGTAAAAAGATAGTTGCCATTAAGTATTTTACATGATATTTTAATGTTTCCCACTAGTGGCCATTTGAATTTTGAACTTGATGATTGGAAAAATAGTTCAGCATTTAATGTTTCAGCCGTGGGAAAAAAGATATGTATGATAAATTTAAATTTAATATAAAATTATAGATTAAATGAAAAATAATTTAAAATTATAAAAATATATGTATAGTTGATAAAATATAATTTAAATTTGAAATTTAAATACAAAAAAAAATAAGAAATGACATATTTATACTTTAAAAGAAAATAAATAAAAATGTAACTTAAAAAAATAATATAGAGAAATTTTTTCCAGAGAAGTATTTTTTAAAAACATTTACATAAACATTTTTAATATATTTGTATCGCCAATATAAAAATTATGAATAAGTATAACCAAAGAACTGAATATATATACTTAAAAGTTAAAACCAAAGTAAAATTATACTTATAATTATATTTAATTTTTTAAAATTATAAGTGACTTTAAAATATAAATCACGTATAACTTATTATTTTAAGGGTTCATTTTTTTTTGCAGTGACTGCATATAACTTATCTGCATTACGCCCAAAACGATATCGTTTTGATATGAAAATCAAGGTATTTTTATAATTTTAATTTATTTCGGGATTATAATAGTCTTTATCATTATAATTTTTTGATCTTTCAACCCAAAACGATGTCGTTTTGGATGTGAATGCAGATAAATTATCTGTAGTCACTATAGAAATATTTTTTTATATTTTTAAATATAAAAATCTATTACAAGCAGATATAAAATATTGACAGTTACATGTGGCAAATTAATCTCGGCCCATCCTGCCCGCCAATATTTTTTATATATATATTTACTGTCTAACAAACCCGTCTTTATGTGGCTGAATGTTTGTTAGAATATTAAACATAGTAACTCAAATATTTATCAACTCTTCATCTAATATATATGTCACAAAACACACACTTCAGAAAGTCGATTCAGAGGCAATTATAGAAAACATAGATAGATAGTAATAAGGAAAAATGTTTCTGCAGTTAATGCAGATAAGTTATCTGCATTTATTCCCAAAATGACGTCGTTTTGGTATTGAAATCTTAAAAAATTATAAATATAAAGACTATTGTAACTCTGAAATAAATTAAAATTACTATTTTCGCCCCAAAACGACGTCGTATTTGGCTTACTGCAGATAACTTATATGCAGTAACTGCAGAAAAAATGAACCCATAGTAATATAGACGCAACTATAAGAACTTTTTTTGTTGATAATTATAAAAATATATTACACGTTGATATAAAATGCTGACAGTTAGAGATAGCAAAATGGGCTCAGCCCGGAGGACCGGCCCACTCCACCAACACTTTTTTTTTATTAACTGTCTAATAAACCATGTTGATATAAAATGTTGACAATTAAATATGGCAAAATGGGCTCGACCCAAAGGGCCTACCCACCTCGCCGCCCGCCAACACATTTTCTTCTTCTTATATTTATTCTCTAACAAATTCTTCTTTGTGTGACTAAGAGCATTGGATTTACTGCCGTAAATATTTCAGAAACAAGCATCTAAACAAAACGAACAATTATATTATGATAAATGAAAGTTCATATCTGATAAATATTAAAAGAAGTCGAGTCAAACTACGTAATTTTTGAATGATTATAAGACAAGCTAATAAATGACATTTGCATTTTATATCAAATTATCAAACAAGATGCCTTTGCGACGTTTGGTGGACCGTAAATAATAACTAAGCCTACAAGTATATAACTTTATACATGGAGTAAAGTTTCGTTTGAACTAATAAAAAAAATTAATTCTTATTGATTTCTCAATTAATACTTATGCAATTAAGCTAATGAATGGTCTTTTGAATTACCACATTCAACTTCAACTATGAAGTGTTTGTTAGAATATCAAAGATACTAATTCAAATATTTGCCAACTTTATATGTACAAAAGTTAGAGTTAGGTACCTCGTAGTGTTGATATTTAAATAAAATATAAAAATATACTTTTACAATTTACGTTAACTATTAACAGGCAAATAAATCGATTTTTTTTCCATACATTGCACGGGTAAGAGACTAGTACATAATTACAGGCTTTTTGACCCTTATAACCTTTTATTAATAATTAATTACCAAATTGACCTTCATTATAAACTATTTCAAAAATTTAACCTCCCAAAATAACATAACATCAATCTACCCCTGTTTGACCGTTGACCACCAAGCCTACCCAAGTACACCTCTCCCTACCTGGGTATATTTTGAAATTTTATGCCTACCCGGGTAGGGAGGGGTATACCCGGGTATATTTTTTGAGATCTGAGAAATTGTTTGAATTATTTACCCGGATACTGAGGGGTGTACCCGGGTATATCCGAAGAAAGGGTGCTGAAACTGAATTCACAGTTAAGGGTGAAAAATACTTGGCATCTAGGAAGAAAATGAAGAAGGCAATTCAAAAGGTCTTTAGAATCTTTGCTGTTTAAAAATATGAAACTAATTTTATAATTTGAGCCTCCGATCGTGATAAACTAGTCTGTGTTTTCTATAATTGACAATCTAGCAAGTACTTGCAGTTCCATAATTTATCCGGGTACACCTCTAAATATCAGGGTAAATAATTCAAGCAATTTCTCAGATTTCAAGAATATACGTGGGTACACCCCTCCCTACTCGGGTAGACATAAAATTTCAAAATATTTCCGGGTAGGGAGGGGTGTACCAGGGTAGGCTTGGTGGTCAACGATCAAACATGAATAAATTAGTGTTATATTTTTTTGAGGAAGTTAAATTTTTGAAATAATTTATAATAAAGGCTAATTTAATAATTAATTATTAATAAAAGATTATAACGATGAAAAATTCCATAATTACAAGACATCCGACGGACCCAATTACATATGTGGTAAGGGTTTCCTCATTTTTTTGGAAGAGGGCTTAGAAGATTTTCCCTCCAAAAACTGAATGACAACCCATAGAAATAGGATGGGCTGGCACCATTTAAGCCCCTCAAAATGCTTGCTATGCACTTTTCCTGACTCTCAGTTCTCTCTCAAAGTGTACTTTGGAAACTTTACAGTTAAGATTAAATACCGACTTTGTTTGATGGATATGGACGACCCTTTGGATTTCGAGGTAGAAGACGACCTTCTCAAATCCCCTACCATTAACAACAATAAACGGTATTTGCTTCCCTCAAACTTGTTTTTCCTCTCTTACTTTTTGCCCCAACTCTCCCAAGTTTCAATTTTTACCTTTTTTTTTTCTCGCGTTTAGGGTTTTATAGTTTCCCAACGGTAACTTTTATACTAAACCCATGATTTGCTTATTTGGGTTTCCCTTGATTTCATCAAATTGTGGGTTCTAAGTTCTAACGGTTAATTAAAATTTGAATGTAAATTAGGAAGAAAGTTATTGGGTTGGATGATCTTCTTAAAGATCACTACAGAGAACAGAACACGCTTATAGAGAAGCGGAAGAAGCAGGCAAAGGCAAAGAACAAACGTTCCTATGATGATGAAGATCGCAAGGAAGCTTGGTTGACTAGGATAGTTGACAAATGTCACAATCAGGCACGATTTTTTTGTTTCCTGTTCTTATGTTTCTATGATTAACATTTTTTTATTTGTAATTGTCATTGTATGTTACTGATTACTTGGCCTTTCTCATCCAGTTGAAAGCTTTTGGCGAAGAACAAGAAATTCCACTATGGGGTGTAAAAGTTTTTGGAGATCAGGTTATTATACTAAGTTAAATTCTCATTGATTTCTATTTATGGTTTGCTGCTTTTATCTCTTAATTGTTTGGATACTTGAGATTATAAATGTTTTCATTTTGTGAACTGCAGAAAGCCTTTCCCTCCCTGGATTTTCCTGATATTGGAAGTTGCAACCTTTTACAGTCGTTTTTGAACAACAAGCTAAATTCAGTGGTGGAATTGGCTGCAGACAGAGGTTGTTCTGATGTTTCGTTTGCTAAGGCTATAATGTTGTCTCTTTTTATCAATTCGTAATGTCAAGAAACCATGCCTTTTTGGTATTGCAAAATACTGATTTAAGCCAGATTTACATCAAAAGACTGCTTTTGTGCTATCGGATGAAACTGACATGCCTGTTTATAAATGGTTATCTCAGTTATTACTTTGTGTTCTTTCAGGAGATATCTTTCTTGAAGGGTTACTAGTCAATGGTTGGCTTCCAAAATTAGCTTTCCTTTGTGGTCATGTAGAAAAACCAGTAGCCATTTGGGCCTTCAACACAAGTGAGTGAAGCATGGCTTTTCATGTTTATACTGTTACTAGCTATTAGCATAGCAGAAGGGTTGTCATAGATCTTTTTTACTTTGTTCTTTCAGTGTTATATTCATCAAAAGAAGAGCTCCGAAACTCTTCCAGTGACTTTTGGTGTGCGATTCTGTCTTCTAAAAATGAGGTAAACTTGTTTGTTATGTTTACTTGGGGCAATGTACCATCAATAAAAATGATGACTTGGTATGTTTATTTTAATTCCTTTATTCTTTGTTGACGCTACATCATTATGATACACAATCATTCTTTACCAGGTTGATCCATTGTCTGTCAAAATTGATTGGTTACCTGAGTATACAGATTTGAGAAGGGCTCTTGACATTTATGGGTTTCTCTTTAAATTTTGTGCTGAGCCTAAAAATTTAGGTAACTTTCTTATATCTAGATTAGTTTATCCATGCAGTGTGGGAGTCAAATTATCTTTGTGAAGAAAATAATTATATAAATTTGTTAAGTTTCAGCGATGTAGAGCTGTAGCTTTTCAATATTTTTTACATTAATATATCCATTTCATGAATGTCTGTCTTATTTCTTTATCCATTGCACTTAATGTAGAGATATTTGTATTATTTCTAGTGGAATTGCAAATATCTTGTCACATTTATTGCCATGATTCTAAGAACAACCTATACCTTTGTCTTCTAGATTCTGACATTAGAGGACCACCTCAAAATCTTAGAGCTTGGGTCAAATTTGTCACTGCTTGTTGTCTGATAAGGTAAACAGCGGCAGTGAGCCTACTTAGAGGATAACCTAAATGATTTTTCTGCTATTTTGTTTCTGTTGTTAGTTATATTTGGAGTTTTAGGTTGCACTGATTAGATTGCCTGTTGATAATTCAAGTGACAGTATTTTGAATGTATGATGGTATCAACTCACGTCTCTTGGTTCTCATTGCAGGAGTAAGAAACCTATCTTCTCTACTGCAGAAGCTGAAGAGATAGTTGAAATTATTATATGTATATTACTAGATCGCCTGTTTCAGGGTTTGTTGGTTCTTTTGAATGACTGCATGCAAGCAATTGTCAATTACTTTACAGACCAGGAATGGTGCTCAAGTTGTGAGAACATAGCAAAATTCATTGCTTGCAGGTTATTACTTTTATTAATTGTTCTCGCTATTAGATGTTGGTAATGGTATATAGACTTGTTGTCAGTAATATTACTTCAAAAATGTTGGCCAATCATTAATAATACTCAAATTGAAGCATAAAAATAGACCCATGTATCTAGTAGTTATCATTTTCCTGCATGTTTGTGGCTTGGTTAATGAATGATAAAACTTATCAGAGGATTTTGGTTTGGGCTGCAAAGACAATGTACTATTGCCATATTTGCGGATCGTAGCACGGTTGAATGATCTGTTCATAATCTGCAGTAAAGGAGTCGTAGACAAGAAAAGAGCATTTGGCAGTAGCTTTTGAGGGGGAATTCTTTTGAGTTGGTGCTAATTATTATGGTGAAGGCATAGTAGTTAATTGTGCCGCGAGCCGCGCCGTATGGGCGTTGCGGTGCCTCACCGCAAGAAATCGCGCTGTGCCGTACCGGAACGCAATAGCGGCCATTGCGATCGCATTTGCAGCTATATTGCTATCATAAAACAAAATGTCAATTTTGTCCTAAATTTAAATGTGTAACAGAAAAAATTTAAGAGTTTTTTAGCCTATCCGCGTCTCTCTGTCACTTCTGCTATCTTTGCCTTTAAAAAATGTTTTTTTTTGTCATTATTTCTGTCATATATCTATTCCGCTATTTCCGCAACCGCAACCCGCTATAACGCTATAGCGTTTTTTGGGGTTGGCCGCGACATGCCGCAATCCACATTTGATAACTATGGGTGAAGGTGATGTGATGTGCTGCTGATGCTTCTGTGCTAGTGAAGTATTATATATCTGGAATCCAGAATTTTGTTTTCTTAATTGTTAGTACCCTAGATTTTTGTACATTCTCAAAGTTCTTTATACGGTTATCATTGATAGAATTAGTTGCCAAAACTAGTTTGTACTGTAAATGGACAAGCTGAAGTGTATGATCATACTTATTTTCTAGATCTTGCCCATTGGCTTTGTATTTGCTTCCCTTCTCTTATTCTTGGTGTCTTTGATGTGCAGAGTCTCTAAGGATTTGAATTGCATCCAGGCTATTGACTGCGTTTCAGGAGTTGGTTCTCGTTGTAAGCAACTTAAGAGTGCTCTTGCTCATCAAAGCCTGCTTTCTTGTTTTGATGGAGTATGCTCCTTGCACTTCTCTCACCAATTTTTTTATTTTTAGAACATCAACATCAACAACACCTTTATTTTTTTTTATGTTTGTGGCCTTGTGCATGTAAAACATATAGTGAAGGTCCTGGTCATGTGATGGAAGGTTATATATGGGCAGCAAGTTATACATGTTTTCTTCATCTAATCTGTTGCTTGTTGGAATATTAAGGGGTTGTGTTCGATCAAATTTAAAAATTTAGCACTGAAAAGCCAGTATCAAATTTTTAGTGATGAAAACTTCAGCATTCCTTTGTGTTTGTGATGTTTGAAAAGATTTTTATTAAGTCATCAGTGTGTATTAAATCAAACAGTTATTTAATAATTCGAAAAAAGGTTGCTGCTGCTGCTGAAATTATTCAATGTCCACGTATATGTGGAATGTTGTCAGTGCTTTCTTTATTCTTTCATTATTTGGTATTAACAAACACTGCTAAGTGAGATTGCTATTTTTTCCTCAGGTCAACAGTGGAGAAGAGATTCTCAGATCATTTACTGCAATTAACTTCAAAGACAAAAGTTGCGATTTCTTCAAGATGTACATTCACTTAGTTTTGACAGAGAATTGGGTTTTGTCCAACTCATTAATTGAAGACAATCCAGTTATCTATGAGATGTTCTGTCTTTTTCTTAGACATTGTTCTACCTTAATATCAGCCACAGACCTACGATCCTATGCATCAAAGGTGAATGAAACGGCTTTCTTATTTTTAACCAGTGATTCGTTACATTTTGATTTCATGTACAGAAATAATTGTTTTACAGGTTCGTCATAGGGCTTCATATCTTCTACACTTCTCCATCTAAATATAATTGGCTTCAGGTATCCTCAGTATCCTATATCTTGTTGTGTCTCTCATGTGTTTTTTCTCCAATCATAGAAAAGAAAAAGAATGAAATGAAAATGTTTTAATTAAAAGCCACCAAATCATCTAATAGATAGGGCAAAAGTCTTGTAAACCTTTGGCAAGGGTATTCTGAGTTTGGAGGTTTCGCAATTCCCCCTCTGCATATTTTCAGCATCTTAATAGTGGGCACCGTAGAGGTACAAGATAATGCATAGCCCATTGCTTGGTCAATTGAATAATGATGTATTATTTTTCCCCATGGTTATGCATATGTAAAATTGGCTATGTCCCAATGTTCAGCATTCTTGCCTTGCAAACTATGATGTTTTATTTTTATTTTTGGTTAGAGTGCATCTTCACTTATTAGGCATTTTACTTGCACCCAAGATAGAAGGACTGATTTCTAAAAATAGAGAATCAGATAAGCTAAGAGCCCGTTTGTTTGAGCTTCTAAAAAAAGTAACTTTTATTTCTTCTTTATTTTAGAAGTGTTTTTTATAAAAGTTAAAGCTATTTATATTTTTATAAAAATATTGTTTTTAAAAAAATATTTGGGTTTTGACTTTTACTTTTCTTAGAAGTTAAAATTTTTAGCTTTCGGAAAAAGTAGATTTTTGGCTTATTTTGTGACTTCTGCTTTTTTAAAAGCAGACATCCAAACGAACAAAAAACGAGAAGTGCTTTTTTCAAGAAAAAAAGCAGCTTTTGAAGGAAAAAAAACTCATCCAAACGGACCTTAAGTAGTCTCACTCTTTCTTCTTCTTGTGCAGCCTGAGATGGACAAATCTTAAAGGGTGAAAGGTTTAAGAATGCTGCATTACATTGGCACCTACAACTACGCACGTTATTTTGACTAAACATCAGATTCTTCAGACTCCCAGAATGCATTTCTTTCCTGAAGCTTGAGATGTTATAATGCCATTCTTAAATCAAAGATGCAATAGTGAATGTTGGTTGTTTTTGCTTCTTGTTGGCTGGCATGAATCAAGATCCGTTGCTCATCCTAGGTTATAAGTTACTGGCTCGTGGCAGCCTTTCGCACAGTAAAAAAAGAAAGCATAAGGTGTAACTTATGTTATAATGGCATATCCTTGTGTTGTGCCGCTTATGTTAAAGTCCAAGCGTACCTTCTGTAGTTTCTTATGTTCAAGGCAATGCCTCCAGCAACAAAAATATTTTGGATACTTCTACTATTTTTACCTTTATGGCTATATTTACCCATAATTTTCATATTTTTCTACTCCTGAGGTATGGAAAGTGCAAACCACGGACAAGTAACTGTGGCGTTAATTGTCAAGTGTACTTAATCTTTGATCAGCCACTCTCCAAAGATAAACATCTTTTGGTTGATCTTGTTTATTATTTATGAATTACAAAGTACTTCACTAATGATGTAATAGTAATTAAGAGTGACTTTAAAACAACACAAAGGAAATGACATCACCCGTTTCAATTTGCGGGGGCATTAAAGAAGGGAGTTTATTTATTTATTTGTATTGCTTTAATTATTACACTAAGTCTAATAATAACATTAGATGCAAATTGTATAACCATACAAAGTTATTGAAGTTAAATTTAAAATGTTATTTAATGAAATTTAAATCAAGCTTTAACAAAGCGAAAGTGAAAATTTATTGTAAAAGAGAAAGTGAGAAAATTTGCGACCAGAGGATTCGGAGACCCACATCGCTTTTTGATTTCATCATTTAATTTCAAACGGAGGTTCGGAAGGCTTTGAAATATTTGAATTTAGATTCGGATAATGCGAGGGTAATCTTGGTTCGGGAAGCCGTTAGGCAACCAAACCTCCGTGTTGTTTCTTTATGGCTTTTGTCTTCTTTTTCTTTTCATTCCGTCTCGCATTTTCGACATCTTCGTCTGATCCAACGTTGGAAGCAAGTGTCGTTGGTTTCTTGGTAGAAATGAAAAACTAAAGTTGAATTTTATAAGCGCTAGTATGAGTATGCGAGGGGAGGTAATGGCGAAGAGATCTATTGGAAGTTTAATGCGGAAGAAGCTTTCTGATATCACCAATTCTCACTCTCATTCTCATTATCAATCTCAATCTCAAGAAGATAACAACCCACTTGACCCTTTTCCCACCGATAAGGATTGCATTCAACAACTCCTAAAGGTGCATTCTTTTTCTCTGTTTTTTTTTCATTTCTAATTTTTATTGTCTTAATCTTTTATAATTCTTATTATTATTATTATTTATGTTGGTTATTGTTCTTGCCACTTGAATTGTGTGTGATGCAGGAAAGAGCGACTTTGATGCAACTCCTTGCGGAAAGAAAGTATCCTCTCATACTCATAATCATAATTAAGGGGATCTGAGAAAGTAATAAAAATTGATTATTTTTTTGTTTGTTTGGGAGAAGCTGGTTTTTCCTTGACTTAGATTAAAAATTTGAACAGTAAAATGATTGAAAAGAGTGGAGCTGAGGTGCACAGGATGCGTGCAGATATCAAGAAGCTGCAACTACAAAACTGGAATCTTGCTCAGTCAAACAGCCACATGTTAGCGGTTAGTTTACCAAGTTGTATAATGCTTGGTTAATATCAATTGTACAATTGTACTGAATGACTTGATGGTGATAGTAATTGTGTTTAGTTGATTCTGTAGGAGCTTAACTTGGGGAGGGAAAGGGTGAGTTTGTTCCTCCAACTTTTTTCTTGGAATCCGAGTAAACTGTATTTGTGGTCTGCAACTCAAATTGCTTGTCTTTTAATAGAATTTTTGAATTTAATGATACTCGTTTCAGATAAAAGCATTGCAACATGAAATTTTATGGAGGGCTGCTTTACTTAAAGGAAATACCAGGGAAGTGCAGGTATGCTCTAAGCTTGCTCAATTACATTAACTTGGGGTGTAGAATGTTGGATATGTGTAGGAGCATTGTGAACATGTGTTTTGTCCTCAACTGAAGATTGTTGGTTTTTTATGCATCTTTAAATGGCCTGTTGTTATGTTCTAATTAAGTTTTTCACTGTACCTCAGTCTTCAATATTTGATCTTAGTATGCAAGAAGTCTCATTATGTGCAAAAACGGCCTAGTAAACATTTTAGCTTGAGTGAGATGATCCGAATTTTGTGTGTGTGGTCTAATACACTCAACCACAACATGCAATATAGGGACTAGAGAGAACAATGGTCTCCATTTTATTTTATTTTTATTTTTTTCTCTTTTATCATCATAAATGAACTGAACCACAACATTATTTGTTTGGTTAATTAACAAAAAAATTTTGCAGGAAAAAGTGGAGATTGACTATGAAAAGAATGCATCATTTTCACGGTCACAGGTGCCTGGGCTAAACCCTTCACTTATTTGTTCGCCACATTGATGAATGGTATTCCTCATTATTTTTGTTGTTGCATGTTTTGATTGGCTCAAGGAAAGAGATGAAAAAGTAGGACAGCCTTCCCCTGAAGCTAGCAATGATGAACAACACAGCTATATGAATAGAAGACGCATAAGGAGTAGATGTAAATGCTGGGACTTAACTTATTCATGTAAATTTTTCTGACATTTTTTTCTTAATCCTGTTTAACTTTGTGATGGAACTTTGCAGCTACTGGTTCTTCTACTGCTTCCACAAAGAATGCAAGCAAAGACAACGTTAAGGACAACAGGTTAGTGCACGCTTCAACTGCATGTGCGGTTAACGCTTAGCTTAATTTGGTTCAAGATAAACAATGCATGGCTTATATTAACTCCTTCGATACCTGAGCTCATTGAATAAGCACCTGAATTTAGTTATGATGAACGCATGAGATGCTTGAAATTGCATCATTATGAATATTCTCAACATTCCAAACTAACAATTTAATAGAAAATAAAATGTTAAATGTGATAAATTTTTCTTTTATATGGTGCACAGGAGACGTTCGAGGAGACATTCTGCCACGTTCAAAACCCATCAACTTGAACCTCTAGAAAATTTGTTCGAGATAGAGGATGCTAATTATCTTGTTACTCAGTCTCGACCTAACATGCTGAGTTCTGTAGCTGTAAAAGATGAAACAGGAGAAAGCTCTATTTTATTAAGAAAGGAAGCTCCGAGATCTTCTTTTGGAAGACCCTTGCGAAGAGCAGTTCAGAAGGTTCAAACTTACAAGGAGATTCCTTTAAATATTAAGCTGCGAAGACTAGAATAAAACAACTTGTAGAACTACATTTAATGTTTTTTCTTTAGTCATTTGTATCCTATGTTGACATTGATTTGTGTATGTTGTATCCTATGTTATTTGTCACCTAAGAATTTAAATTTTTGGAAAAATTAACTCCTGGCATGGTATCAAATCGATATAATCCTCCCTAACATGTTCCATTACTATCTCACTAGAGTCCCCAAAGTTACAAACTATGCTTTATTTTCATGATTATACGTGAACTTTATATTCATATATATTTTTGTCTCTAATTACAACAGAATCCTAAAATCTGTGGTTTTGATTCCAAGAACATATACACGGCGAACATCCAATAAAAAAGGATAAAAGAAAGGCGCAAACTTAGCCTATTATTATTGTTCTAGGTTTCACACAGGAAAAATCATGCTCTTTCATTTACCAAAAATAAAAAATAAAAAAATACATGCTCTTTCAACTTTTAAGTACCACATTGGAGAAATCTGAATCTGGTCTGTTGAACAAGTTTATTTTGTGCTATACATATCCCTCAGCTAATCAACTTGCACTTATATGATTATTTCATCCGGTAGTTAACAAGTCATGCTCTTCCAAAGATGTTTTGAGAGCATCAGCAAAGAAAATGTTGGATATATTTGCTGCTGGTCGAATGATTAACTTAAAATAATTAATAACCTCGAAAATCAGGGGAGTAATTCATGCCTCATTGAAATATAACTTCCCTTTCCTTTCAATGGGAGAGGAAACTACATATGTACAACAATTTGAACATTAATTCTTTTTTACATTTTTTTTCCTACGAAATGCAAAGTTTGAAGTTCTTTTTGCAAAGAGTGAGTGTTTCCTTCGTGAATGAAGTGTAACTTGGTTTCTGTCTCTATGCAATCTGCTTCTTACATGGTTGGGACTAAAGGACTTCAAAAGGTGGGGGGATTAAATAATTCCCTTCTCTCTCCTTTTGGCACATACTATTTTTTTCTCTTATGAATAATTCAGAATCACATAATGTTTACAAAATATTCAATTCCTACTCAAACTGATTACATACATCATGCAACCCTAATGTGGGCCAAAATAATTCAGTACCTGATGCTTGAACCTGAAGACTAACTGAAAAATTTCCATCTGCAGGCTTCCAAAACCCTATTCCTCTTTTTCTTTTTCTTTTTTTGATGAAATGAAAGTCTGACATCCATGAGAGCAAACATCAACGAATCCTCTGAGGTGGATTAGATAATGATGTAACACTTGAAAATGTTACAGCATTTGTTGACCAAGTGCAAGTTGAGGACAATGAGTATGCAGACATGGATTATGCAGGTGATGATGATGATAATGACAACGGTAGTCAATGTTTCATCATACAATCATAATGTTTGAGGTAAAAAGGGCAAAACGTTCATATTCATTGACAAGAGGCAACAATGGATAAAACCAATATAAGAAGTAACAAATCAAATTTTTGTTTGTACATATTTCTGGAATGAACTATTTCTATATGCTAGACACTGAAATTCCAAACTCAAAATGCTACAAGAAAGTTAGTTTCTGGGCAAAGAAAAAGGAAAGAAAAGCAACACAATATGCATTCAATCAAGGTCACTCTTTTAATCAATTGAGTGATGGATCCAAATTTCATCAAGCTTAAGCTGCATAGCACTGCATGTGGCCGCCAACATTACCATGGGATAAGGAGTCCTTCGATCCAACGGCTGGATTTACACAGTTTCTGATGCCATCTAACGCTTCAGATTTCTCAGGCGTTTCTATGACTCCCTTGGTTCCTACCGGCGAAACTCTATCTTTCTGCCGCACAAACAAGTCCTGTCCTGCAGGCGCCGGAACCTCCGCGTCGGAAAATCCAGCTGGTGGTAAAGATATTGCCGAATCAGGATATCTTGGCGGCGAAACCGCCGGCGTCACCACCGGAGAATTACCAAGATTCATCGGAGGATGAACCGTCAAATCTTGGTGCTCGGATTCTGGTGCATCAACCCTTCCGTTTAACGGCGAAGCAGCCGGTGGTTGCCTAGTTACAGCGGTAGGTCTAGATGCCGGAGTCGGAGTCAGAGCCGGAGCCTCAACCGGAGGATGAGATCCCCGCCGGCTTGTGATGTTTAGCGAAACCAACTTCGGAACAGGACGGGAAATCGGACCAAGAACTGTTCGGTTCTCCGACTCCGGCGAGCTAGGACTAATTCTTGGAGAGGAAAACCTTTGATCGGCGGAGCTAATAGGAGGAACCACCGGCGCTGGCAAAGGCGAAGGCGAAGGCGAAGGAGGGTTATTAGTTCGAAGACTGAGAATACTGGCGAGGCCGTGAACAGCTACGTTGCGGCCGTAAAACATGCCGGGGAAAGCGATGTTAACGTCTCCGACGGAGATGACGGAAGAGGCAGGGCGGCGAGTGAGTTGGAGGCGGCGTTGGGAGAGGAGAGTTGGGAGCGTGTAACCGTCGGGGAGGAGGCGGAGCTCGGCGAGTGAGAGGCGGCGAGGGACGACGTGGAAACGGAGAGTGTCTATATAAGACGACGCCGTTTGAGTCATGTCGAGTGCGAAGAGGGAAGCGTCGGTGGGAGCGAAGAAGGTGAAGGAGTGTGAGTTTGAGTTGTTAGAGTTTTCGTCTTCCCTCTGATTCTGGTACGATAGAATGTCGAATTGAAGATCAGAGGTCACGATTGCGTTGCAGAAGAGGTCGTATCCTCTCACTCGTAGGGTATCAAGCATCGAATCAAACTCTCTGCTCGGTATGCAACTCACGTTCACGGCGTTAGCCACCAACACCGCCGTCAAAACCACCCACACTGTTCGCAAAAGTGACTTCATTTCCAAGATTCGTTCTTCACCAAGATTGTGGTTGTTTTTGGCGGGTTTTTCTTTGAAAAAAGAGGGTACTCTGACGGTAATGCTCACACTTTTTTCCTTTTATTCCGAAATTGCACCCTCCTTTCTTGTTTGTTTCATGGGCCTTCTTTTCTAGGCTTTGAAACAAATACCTTTCCCACCCTCTTCTTTCACAGAAGAAACAATTGGACTTATCCTCTGTTCTTTGCAAGGGTATTAGTAAATTAATTGTCAACAAACTCAAGCCTATCATGTAGAAGCTAATATCTTCCCATCAAGTGAGTTTTGTCCCTAACAGACATATCCAAGATAACATCATCATCACTCAAGAGATGCTTCGTTCCATGAGACGTATAAAAGGTAAAAGATGCTTTTTTGCTATTAAAATTAACTTAGCCTTACGACCGTATTTCTTGGAATTTCATCAGATTGGTTCTTGAGGAGGTAAATATTCCAGCCTCTTTGATTGAGATAATTATGGAGTGTATCTCCTCCTCTGATTTTGAAATTATGTGGAATGGTGGTAAAATTGGCTCTATAAAGCCTTCTAGAGGGCTTAGGCAAGGAGATCCCATTTCGCCGTATATATTTGTCTTGTGCATGGAAAAATTATCTCACATAATTGTTGATGCAGTGCAGACTAAGAACTGGAATCCTATGACGACTAGCAAAGGTGGTTCCAAAATCTCCCATCTTCTTTTTGTTGATGAATGATAACTTAATATTGTTTGCTGAAGCTTCAGAGAACCAAATTGCCTCTGTTATGAATTGCTTAAATCAGTTTGGAGAAGCCTCAGGTCAAAAAGGTGAACGATTGTAAATCTAATATCTTTTTCTCCAAAAATGCTAGCGAAGAGATGGCTGGTAAAATAGTCAACAATAGTGGATTTGCTCCCACTAAGAACCTTGACAGATATCTTGGTGCTATGATGAAACATAGTCGAGTTAAGAAAAAGCTTATTTAGTGACACGTTGGAAAGAGTCCATCATAGATTAACTGGCCAGGCTAGAAAGAACTTCTCCATGGCTGGTCGAGTTATTTTTGCTAAATCTGTTATTTTCTCTATCCCAATGTTCCAAATGCAAAGTGGCATCATCCCTCTTGGTGTTTGTGGTGAAATTGAGAAGCTAAAAGACGCTTTATTTAGGGTGATACTAATGGGAAGAAGAAAGCCCACCTTATTTCTTGGGATCAGATTTGCACCCCTAAGAGTAATGGTGGCCTTGGCCTTACGATTTTGAAGAATCAAAATGAAGCTTTCCTCTATAAGATGGCCTAGCCTATTTTAAGCTCTCCCAACCAGTTTTAGGCCCAAATCTTGATGGCTAAATATGAGAGAAATTTTGATACTAACAGCCTCCTGTTTGCAAATCATATGACTCTGTGCTTTGGAGAAATCTCTGTAAAATCTGGTCATATATGCTTAAGAGCTTAATTTGGCAAGTTAGCGATGGCAAGGGAATTAAATTTTGGTGGGATAAGTGGGTTAGTGAAATACCCAAGCTGCTTGATGTATGCAAACAACCCCCACATCCTCTCTTGCTTAATGATTTGGTGGTTGATTGTACTAATTATGTAACAGGTAATTGGAATTTTAACTTCCTTGCTAATTTCTTTGACAATGAGGTATTAAACTATATCTCAGCCATCCCTCCTCCTGTTTCCTATGCTGGGAAGGACACCTTAATTTGGAATAATTTTAATCCCTCTATTTCTTTGGTGAAACAATCTTATTCCAGAATTTCTCATGCAAACCTTGATAAATCAGATTTCCCTTGGGACAAAATTTGGAACTGGAAAGGACATGAGAAAATCAAGTTTTGAATTTGGAAGATGGCTCATGGTAGAATCCTAACCAGAAGCAGATCAGCTAGATGGGGTTCTGGAACTGATAGATGTCATTACTCTAGTGATAAGGTAGAAACCATGCTTCATGCCTTTAGAGACTGCCCCATAGCTATTGGTTTGTGGAACAACTATTTCTTTGTTTCCTTGGCACTGAATTTCTTTGCTGATCAAGACCACGATAGTTGGTTGAAGAAGAATCTCCCTGCCTGGTAATCTTTCTAATTGGAGAGATTTCTTTTTTGTGGGCTGTTGGCTTTTATAGCTTTGGAGGAACAAAGATATTCATGAAAAAGATTACAAGAGACCTGATAATGCCTTTGGTGAACTGATAAAATACCTGGAGGATATTAATCTTGCTGAAGTTTCTTCTCTTGCTAGTCCTTCTTTTATTGTTGTTCAGATGGTAATCCTTCGTAGGTTTGGCCTCCACACCTTTGGTTGAAAGTAAATGTTGATGGGGCCGTGTTTTGTGGTAAGGCTGTTTGTGGGGGTTTATTTCGTGATTACGATGGAAACTGGTTAGGTGGTTTTTGCTCTTTTTTGGGGTGTTGTTCCCCTCTCCTAGCTGAGCTTTGGGCCATTCTAAAAGGCCTGGAGTGCGCTTAGAGTCTTGGTTTTAAAAAGCTAATAGTGGAGAGTGATTCCTCTCAGGCCGTTAGCTTGCTTATCTTTAATGGTAATGAAGCTCGACAACTACATCTTGTGGTTAGAATTCGAGCCACGGTTGATAGGCCTTGGAGTATCTAGTTTGATCACATTTTGAGGAATGGCAATAGGTGTGTTGATTGGTTAGCTAAGATTGCTTTGAACAAGTCCTTGGGCACTATTTTTTACTCTTCTCCAGATTAGGCTCTACAGCAACTTATCAGGGCAGATAGGGAGGATGAATCAGTGCTGAATAGGCTTCCAGCTCCTGACTGACTTTTTCTGTTTTGTTTCTACTTTATGTTTTGTTTTGTCTTTGTTTTTTTTGGGGCTTTGCCTACCAAAAAGAAAAAAAGAAAAAGAAACAATTAGACTTACAATCTAACAATTTATATTTTTTTTTGGGTACATAACAATTTTTACTTTTAACTAAGAGAAATGTTATATTTACAACTTATTTTCGTTTACAACCTCTTATAATCATATCTTAACAGTTGATTTCCATTAATCAATGGTTATTATTTTCGTAAATCAAATTCATTAATTAATTATTAATTCGTAACAAATGATAACCATTTATTGGTGAAAATAAACTGTTAAGATATGGTTGTAAAAAATTATAAATGAAAATTAATTTATAAGTATAACCATTCGGTAAAATAAAAAAGTAGAAATTACAAATTTATATTTAGATGACATGTGAAGAAGGTATAGGTGAAAATACTCAAATAAGTAAAGCGACCTATCACAGATACATAGCCTTACTTATTTATTATTAGTATTATTTCAGCTTAACTTATATAGCGGACAAGCTAAGTTTATATACTTAAAAGGACTTATTTAATATAGTAAGCCTGCGTATCCGCCTTCAAACACAATCTTAATACTTCAAAAATATAGTTTCCATTTATATATATAATTAAGAATTTAAAATACAATTTTCAAAAAAATTATAATACTTGTACAATTTATTAATTACAAATTAATATAATATATTTATTTTATAAAAAATATAATACTTTTATTCAATGTTATGCCTATTTTAAAATTAGAAAGTCTAGCAGTATTTTTTCGTTTCTCGTTAGAAAAGTCTCAAACTACTAGAACAATTTAGGCAAAAGATTAGTCTCTTGTAACTTTCGCCCAAACTATATGATTTTGAAGTTGCAAATGAAAAAGTAAAAATGCTATCTTTTTTTGCTTAGTTACTTATTTAAGAAATGTAGATATTTAAATAAATTTATAGAACGTACGTACGAGACTGAGAATGAGGTTGAACCCGATGAAGCATCTCTGTCGAACTGCATGATTAGCATCAGGAATTAAAAAAAAATAAAAATTATGTGAATATTTTCACTCATGGTGATTTTATAATTTATTAATTTATCTTACATAGTTATAAATTTGTCACTCAAATTTATTGTACTTAAATAATTTATCATTTAATTCTCTATAATTTTAAATTTTCATTTATACTTATTGTGGTAACATACTATATTGTGTTCATCATTTTTATGTCAAATTTCATAATAGAAAAAAATTGACTTATAAATTATTTTTTTATTTTTAATTAATAAAATAAAATTTAGACCTAAAAAAAAAACGTGTCGGATGCGTGTTGAAGATTTGACCGCATGTCAGGAACACATGTTGGAACGTGTTAGAACATTGACCACGTGTCCCAAAATGTTGACTGCAAAAATACTTTTCTCTTTATAATATTATAATAATATAAGATAAAAGTCGAGAAAAAAAGTGTATGTATAAGATCACAAGGGGTCTAAGTGATATATTTTTATAATCATAATGAGTATAAGTGAAAATTTAAAACTATATGAAGTTAAATGATAAATTATTTAAGCATAATAATCATAAATGACAAATTTAAAATTACATGAATCAGATGATAAATCATAAAAAGGTTTTATAAGAGTTATGTTATAAAAAAAGTGATTGTGTTATGTTATAGAGATTCGTTTTTCATGTCTTAGTTTTTTTTTTTTGCTTCAAAAAATATGGGTCCCACAAAATGTTGTGTATGTGTAGAAAATTTTTTTGTGTCATGTTACATGATAAACGCAAACCCCGTCATAAAATCATAAAATCGCTTGAAAATGAAAATCCCCCTATATATATATACCTAGGGGTGTTAACGAGCCGAGCCGAGCCGAGCTTTGGTCTTAACGGGCCGAGTCTGTGTTCAAATGTGTCAGACTGGCCTTAGCATGTTACCTGTTACGAATATAATATCAGCCTGTGGCCTTGCTCATTTACAAAAAACAAAAGCCTGGTTTAGCTTGTTTTAAAAAAAATAAGACAACAAAAATTTATCCAAACAAAATATACAATCAACAGCACTAGTAATTCCATAAATATTCATAAATTTAATGTATATCCAAATAGCATAATATAAAATAAAATCATTCAAAAAGTATGTTTAATTAATAAAATGGGATGAAATGAATTGAGAAGAGAGAGAGGGCTATCA